CTCTCTCCCACGTGCATTCAGTCTGTCTCTCTCCCACATGCATACAGTCTCTCTCTCCCACATGCATACAGTCTCTCTCTCGCACGTGCACACACTGTCTCTCACACACAGGTGCACACACTGTCTCTCTCGCACACGCACACACACACGCGCACAGTCTCTCTCTCACATGTACACACTCCCCCTCTCTCGCATGCGCACACACTCTCTCGCATGCAAACACATTCTCTCACACTCACATGCACACACTCTCTCTAGTGCGCACACTCTCACTCACACACACAAATCTATGGGGTAAATTTGTATTTGCAGATACATTCTATTTTGTTCAAAAAGCACGCAGACAGTCAGTCAATGTGGTGTTTAATAAATTCCTACTTTAGAAATAAAACCAGTCTGACTCTAAGCCAGAACACAGTCAGATTCTAAACAAAGCCTCACACCTAACATGCATTGTCTGACCTAAAATATTACCTCTTCTTTACACTGATAAAACCTTTAGTTCTCTCAGGACCGTGACTTCAGAGGAATTCGGAGATTTACGTATACATGTTAAAACCTTGTAACTGATTAAAGATTTAACAGCATCTTAGGTTTGTTTAGTACATCCTTGTCAGTGGTGTGACCTTTTGATCTTTTACTTATAAATCCTGTGTCTGATACTACCTCTCTCACTAACACTTAGAGAAGGAGTAAGACTTTGAAATCTTTCAAATAAACCTGTTGGGACCATAACCTGGTGCTGTGTGATTTCTGACAGGGTCCTTTCCTGTAATAGGAGCCTAAAGCTATTTTCAGTGGGAAATAAAAGTGTAATGTGATCATGGGTCCACTCCAGGTGAAACAAGCATGAATCTTCAACTTGAAGCACTACTTAATGGGGCTCTCAGTTACATTTGTTTGAAGTTTTCCAACTTCCACTGATTCTTCAGTCATCTGCCACATACACTTTGGGTTTCCTGAAGGTTAAGATTGGAGTTATACTGGCCAACTGTTGTCGCTCTAGATATTCTTAACACAAGTCACCAATCTCACGCCAAGACTGGTAAACTAAAGCCTGGATTCTATTGGTTTGAAGATATACTACTGCTGAAAGAACTACATGTTGCAAAATCCTTTAGTCTTCCCAAAATCAGGATAATTTGTAAGGGTATCAAAATCAAGGAAGAACACCATTTATACTGTATAAGACGAAAGAGCTGATTCATTGACAAGTCTGAACTCTGATTAGTAGAGACAGTGCAACAGTGTTGTCTTCCCTTTTTTAAAGAAATTGTCCTGATGAGTGCAAGACAAAACAACTTCAACAAAATGTGTCTTTTTCCAGTTCAGTTCTGACTACATACAAACAATATTGCTAACTTGCTCAGCAGGCAGATTCACTATAAAGGTTCAGGAATTATTGTTATAGGAAAACGCAGTTGCAAATTGCTCACACTAACATGCTGCAGTCTAGACTATAATAATGGCTTCTGGTTTTTTTTTGTCCTACATCCTGCTTCCTTGCTCATTACTAGCATATTTCCTCTTACACCTGCTTTAGCTGCAGCATGGCATGCCCCAGGTCAGGGGAGCTCAAAAACAGTCAGGACTGTGAGGAACACTAATACGAGACATCAGGCAACTCCAGTTTACTGTCAGAGATGAATGTGTCAGGAGGCTGTGATCCTCTAGAGAGCATGGCACCAATCTGTGCAGGAAGACCTGCACCCCACTGTCTGGTGCATTGCCTGTGACCAGTGAAGTCAGGCCACAGCAGTCACATTCCTCAATCTGAAGCACATACTGGGAACAACAAGTCACCACTGGAAAGTGTTGTAGGCTATTCACCCCGGATCAAACTCTGATTGGCTGCAACCATTTAGCTATCAAGGCTCCTCCCAATGAGCTAGTAAGACGAATGCAAAAGCCTTCCAGTGCTGGTTTGGACACCGAGGAAGCTCTGACAGGGACAATTAGAGGAGAGCTAACTAAGGGCAAGAAATTGGCTCCATGGGGTGTGTGTAAGTGGTCAGCAGAGCAGTGCAATGCTTTACTGCTTGTGTCTGGGTGAGGCCAGCCAACAGTAGCTGAAGGCATGATGAAAGGTTTGATGAAGGTTCATAATGTCTTATTGATGTTTAGATTCCCAAAGTGGGGGAAAAATAGTTTTTAGTTCTGTGAAGGCCTGTTTTTATTTTTTTCTGGAAGTAGAAGGCACACCAGTAAAAGTGATCATGAATGTGATTAAAATCCTGAGCCCCGCAGTAAGCTTCCTTTTAACGCATACTGGCCTAAATTTCCCAATGGCCAGGTAATGTTGGTGGGAGTTTTATAAGGGGACTGTGTAAAACCACAGACAAAGCAGCCTGCGAAGGAAATTGAAGATTCTGTCCATGAATGTACATTTAAAATGGGGGATTCTGAATTCTATTGCAGCTAAACAAATAGTTACTCAGGATAAGTTAGACTATTAAATGTTTAGCTTGGCTCCTGGGTAACTGTTAAGCTGACCCCCGCAAACTTACATCTCACTTTGGCAACCAAAACTACCTTAAGCACGCTGTCACTTACCTGACACTTGCCAGCTTGAGGCCTGGCACCTTCCATGGCACCCCATCCCTACCCACCTGGCCCTTTACCTGCCTGGCACCCTACCCTCCCAGCATACTGACCTCACACTTAACCTCATGTCCTTAACCTTTCGCAGGAGCTGCCAAAGTGGTTTTCTGTGATGCCAGGCCTTTAGGTTACAGAATGGGGGAAATGACTGCTGCCAGAAAAAGGGGGTGTGTGAACTACGGGTCTGACTTTCCGAAGGAGTTCTGGCTGGAATCTCCTGTCGGAAACACAACGCACTTTTCTGACAAAGAAGGAGCGCGGTGACAGATGGTGCACGATTGGGCCTCCTCAGAAAATCCAGGCCATCGTGTCAAACTGCTGCACCTTCTCAAGGGCAAGTAAAGCCGGGCAATAAATCCCAGTCGTGCCAACAGCGTGACAGCATCAGAATTCACTGAAGGGATTCCATTGCCAGTAGATTTTTCAGTTGGTTTATTGTGCCATCTAAAGGTCAGTGACAGAACAGCATAGGCTGAGGTTTGTCAGTCAGTCATGTTCCCAGAGAAACAAACAACTGTGCGCTTGAGAGAGATTTAGAAGTGAATGTCTTTGTCAGAGAGAAAAATAAAGGGGTATTTAAATAATAGTTTAAAGGCTTTAAGTTGGGAAATCCCTGTTGACTCTCAGTTGACTTGGAAAAGGCCATTCAGTCCATTTAACCTGCTCCTTTGTTTAGTAAGATTATGGATGATCTGGTTGTGGGCCCTCTCTACCTGCCAACCCACTGCCTATAACTTTTGACTCCCTTGTTAATCAAGGATCTGTCCAATTCCGATGTAAACAGGCTTTACCACCCAGTCTCCACTGCTGCCTGGTGAAGAGAATTCCTCAGACTCATGAGACAAAGTAAATTCTCCTCATCTCTGCCTTAAATGGGAAAGTTTAAATCATGCCCTCTAGTTCCTGTATCTCCCACAGAGGGGAACATTGACACTCACCCTATCAGACAATCGTCAAATGGTTACAGTGCATTGTAGGTCACTAGCCTAGCCATAGCTCCCAGTTGCTAGTTGGTAGCTTTAGAGACACAACTTGCCCCTCCTTTCACCCTCCGCAAGCTGGTTAGAATATCTGAGATGTGGTTGCTAGCTTCCCGCTACCTTCAATGTTTATGCAGGGTGTTGGGGAGATCCTGCCTCACCTTCCCTCACTAAACTAGCCCAATCAGTATGTGTAGCACCACTCAAGTAAATGATCCCAAACGTTTTGGGACTGTTAGAGCAGGACTTCCCACAGTGAGGGTTGGGACCATGAGGAAGCAACTGCTTATGCCAGGGAGATCTGACTGGGTTATAAAAGCTGTGAAGCAGCTTTAAATCTTTGTGGTTTTTTTTTAATTATTCAAATCACAGGTGGGGCCCCGAATGATTCAACTCTGAGGACTGCAGCAGTCAAAAAGGTAGGCCTTGCATTTTTTTTTAAAAAGCTGTAGAAACTCCTTACAACCCTCTCTATGCTGCACCCTGAGTTCTTTCAGGTTGCTTTCTCTATAGCCCACTCTTAGAGTGCACGCCCTCCTGGCATAATCACAGTTTGCACTCAGGTGTCACGGCAACTCTCCAGCCTTGAACTGGGATCCCAGTGGGAACAAGTTTGGTAACTCCTGTGTTGGAATGCTGCGGCTGTAATGTAAGATATAACAGCCCGTGCGGAAACAGCAGAATGCTTTTGACAGATTTGGAGATACTGTTCAAACATTTTCTTCACATTGAGATGTATTTTTCCTCACTTGATCCTTTCCCAATCTTTTTAACAGGGTCCGGAATGGCAACAGGAGGTGAGATGAATGGCTCAGGGAATTTATTGGACTTCCTGGCTGAAGCAGTCCCAGAGGTCGGAATGTATGAAGACTTTCACACAATCGACTGGTTAAGAGAAAAGTCCCGTGATACTGACAGACATAGAAAGGTATATTCTTCCCTCATTTATTTGGTCATTCATAGCAAGGCTGGAATTAAATGCCCATGTTCCCAAAGAAATGGGCGGCGGGCTGCCTTCTTGCAGGGTTCGGACACAGTGCCGTTAGGATTTTGATCTGGCAACAACTGGACAAAATCTGTTTCATCTTCAAAGGGTCCAGTCTTTCTCCAATCACAGGTGAGTGTTAGTTGGAACTGAAGCCCAGCAGACAGAGGTGAAGAAAAGCTTTGCGCAGCGCTACGATAATGAGGAACGCCAATACAGCAGACAGAGGTGAAGAAAAGCTTTGCGCAGCGCTACGATAATGAGGAACGCCAATACAGCAGACAGAGGTGAAGAAAAGCTTTGCGCAGCGCTACGATAATGAGGAACGCCAATACAGCAGTACCGGGTCCACACTTAACGCCAACAGGGAGAGATAGGTTTCAATACATCTGGTGTGAGGTGAGGTTTCTCTGACACCAAGGTATCAAGGAGGCGGAGTAAAATCAGAGTCCGTGGGAATCTGGGAGAAAGCACTCCACTGGTTGTAGCTATTGGAGGTCAATCATCTCTGCTCCAGTTTTGTCACTGCAGAAGTCATTTTAACCTAATGTACACAGTTTGGACAACGTCACTTTGTTTAACCCTTTCGTACCCCTGTTTGTTTTTACTTTCCAGGAAAGGAATTAGAAAGTGAAATGGCGGAGGGTGTAAATAAAAGAGATGCAAAATGGTGGGGAGTTGTTAAACCAGCAGTCAATCGGATCCCAGCCAATTGGCTGTGAGGAGAATTTGTTTAAAGCTACCCTTTCCCCTCTCGGCTGGAATTTTGGTGTAAAATTGTTTTTAAGATGTAGCACTTTGTTTGGGAGCCAACAAAGATTTTATTTTCACTTTTGCTGCTTTGGTTGAGAAACTAAACACAATCTGAATTTAAAATCATTGCCGTGGGTATAAAATTAAAACTTTGTTTGCAATCTACAGTCATAGTGAATGAAGTATTCATTCCCTTGGCCAATCCATAATCATAGAAATATCAATCGTAAATTCAATTGTTTCTTCATGATCATTCTGTGAATGTAAACTATCAAACCCATATTCTAAGAAAATAAATCAGTTATTATTCAAAGTTTACACATTACCAAAGTATTCATCATATGAACAAATCGAGAGTGAGAATAAATCATTCAGTCCCCGTAGCCCGCTCTGCAATTCATTGAAATCATGGCTGATGTGATTGTAATGCCAAGTCTATAATCTCAGCAAAACTCTTTCAACCCTTCCATAACAAGAATGAAAAAAATATTCAAGGATTCTGCTTCCCACCACATTTTCAGGAAAGGATTCATGACCCTCTGAGAGAAATCATTTTGCCCAATCTCTGTTTGAAACGTGTGACTCCTGATTTTTAAACAGTGACCTGCAGTTCTAGATTCTCCCATGCGAGAAAACAGCATCTCTGCGTCTACCTTATCATGACCCTTCAGAACTGTATATTCTATAATCAAGTAGGCACTCATTTTCTAAACTCCACTCGATAATATCCTAGTCTCTCCATACTTTCCTTTTAAGATAATCTGACCATTCCAGGGATCAGTACAGAAACCCTTTTCTAAATCACCTCCAATGCATTTACATTCTTCCTTAAATAAAGTGACCAGTACTGTGCACAGTACTCCTGATGTGGTCTGAGCAATTCCCTGTATAACTGAAGCGTTACCTTTACCTACTTTTGCATTCAGTTCCCTTGGCGATAAATGATAACATTCCATTAACTTTCCTGATTACTTGCTGTACCTGCGTACTAATCATTCGCAATTCCTGCTGCAGGACACCCAGATTACTCTGCAGTCTCTCTCCATATAGATAATCAGCTTCTTTTATTCTTCCCACCAAATGAACAATTTCATACCATCCCGCATCATATTCTATTGGCGTGTTTACCCACTTACCTAACCTGTCAATCTGTTTTTGTAACCTCCTTGTGTCCTTCTCACAACGTACTCTCCTACCTATCTTTGTGTCATCAGCAAATTTGGACACCACACCTTCTGTCCTTCATCTAAGTCATTTACATAAATTATAAAGAGTTGAGACTCCTGTGGCACAACACTCATTACAGCATGCCAACCTGAAAAAGACCCATTTACACGTGCCTTCTGCTTCCTGTTGGCCACTTGAATTTCTATCATGCCAATTTGCTACCCCCTTACTATGAACTTTGATTTTCTGCAATAATCTTTAATGGGGAACTTAGAGTTTTGAAATCTGAATACGATTCATCCATTGCACGTGTTACCTCCTCAAAAAACTCTAACAAATTGATTGAATGTTACTATAGACCAGACCAGACCCCCTCAAAGTATATCAAGAGGGTAGCTTAGATCCTAAGTTTTTCTTATTTTAAACACAAATGTGAGTTGCTGAGTTCCAATTCGATGGTCAAACTACTTGACATTAAGCAAATCAGAATTTATTCAAACACTGTCGTTAAAATACAATGAAAGAAGGAGAAACTTGGAATAACAACTCTATTGGAAAACTTAACAGAATAATAAATTATTTTACTACAAAGCAGTACCTATACCAATATAGTAACATCCCGTAAATGCACCCTTGGCAAAAGGACAATCAGAAAACAGATTGTCTCAAATACAGTTCTCCAGTGCAGGAGGAAAGAATATCAAAAGACAACTCTGAGAGAGAGAGTGTATAGAAGCTGGGAGAGGTTCACCACCTTCCAACCCTGCTGAGACCCTAGCAACAACTGCCAAAACCGAAAACTAAAACCCTGGATTCTGTGAGAGCTTGACCACGCCCACTCAGGCTGCTTCTATTATTCAAACTTTAAAAAAAAATCTGAGGCCCCACAAGTTGTTTATCTTCTCATAGACTGCTTGTTACCTGTCCCTCAGCCTCTCTTTAAAAGAAACCAGCTCAAAACACATCTCTTAAAGCCACAGCATTGTCACAATATGATTTCTATTTTGCGATACTGTTCTGAAGAAGGGTCAGTGGACCCAAAACATTAGCTCTGATTTCTCTGCACAGATGCTGCGAGATCTGCTGAGACTTTTCAACAATTTCTGTTTTTTTGTTTGTGACCGTGTTGACTGTGCCTGACTAACCTGATCTTATCCAAGAACACCTTTCTAACATTTCCCTAGGTCAGAAGTTAAGCTGACTGGCCTATAGTTTCCTGTTTTCTGCCTCCCTCCTTGTTTCTGAATAAAGGAGTTACATTTTCTATCCTCCAGTCTAATGAGACCATCCCACATATGTTTTGGAAACCACTGCATCAGCCACCTCACGAGCCACTTCTTTTGAGATCCAAAAATGAAATCTATCAGGACCCAGGCACTTGTCAATGCACGTACTTTGCTTTTTAAAAAAATATTCTATCCAATCTCTGACCTTCCACTTGTCTTTGCACAATTATATGGTTTTTTTCTTTAAGTTTTGATGCTATCTTTTAGATACAGTTATAGAGTCAAAGACTCCGATAGCATGGAGATAGGCCCTTCGGCCCAAACTGGTCCATGCCAACCAAAATGTCCATCCACACTAACCCCATTTCCCTGCACTTGTCCTATCCATGTATTCGTTCAAATGCCTTTTAAATGTTGTTAGTGTACCCCTCTCTTACCACTTCTGTTGGCAGCTCATTCCATATGCGCACCAGCCTCTGTGTAAAAATGTTGCCCCTCAGGTTCCCATGTATTCTTTCCCCTCTTACCTTAAACTGATGCCCTCTAGTCCTCTATTCCCCAACCCTGGGAAAAAGATGAGTGCATTCACCCTATCCATGCCTCTCATCATCTTATACACTTCTATAAGATCCCCACTCAGTCCTCTACGCGATAAAGAAAAAGTTGTAGCTTGTCCAACCCCACCTGAAAACTCAGTCTGTTGAGTCCTGGCAACATCCTTTAAAATTTCTCCTGCACTCTTTTCAGTTCAAAAATATCCTTCTTACAGCAAGGTGACCAAAAACTGAACACATTACTCCAAGTGCAGCCTCACCAACATCCTGTACAACTGCAATATGACTTCCCAACTTCTATACTAAATGCCCTGACTGATGAAGGCCAGTGTGCCGAAAGCCTTCTTCATTGCCCGGTCTATCTGTGACTCCACTTTCAGATAACTGTGCCCCTGAACTCCAAGGTCCCTCTGTTCCACTACACTCCTTAAGGCCCTACCATTCACCATAAAACTCTTATCTTGATTTGACTTTCCAAAATGCAACATCTCGCACTATCTATAGTAAATTCCATTTGCCATTTCTCGGCCCACTTCCCCAGCTGATCAAGATCCTGCTGCAATTTCTGATAACCTTCGTCACTGTCCACAATACCATTTGTTTTAGTGTCATCCGCAAACGTACTAACCATGCCTTGTACATTCTCATCCAGTCATTGATGGAGATAACAAACAGTAATGGGCCCAGCTCTGACCCCTGACACACATCACTAGTCACAAGCCTCCACTTGAACAAGCATCCTTCCACTATTGCTATCTGCTTCCTACCATCAAGCCAATTGTGTATCCAATTTGCCAGCTCTCCCTGGATTCCATGCAATCTAACCTTCCAGAGCAGTCTACCATATGGAACCTTATCAAAGGCCTTACTGAAATCCATATAAACTACATCTACCACCCTGCCTTCATCAACCTTCCTGGTCACTTCGTCAGAGAACTCCAACAAAATTGTGAGGCCTGATCTCCCATGCACAAAGCCATGCTGACTACTCCTAATCAAACCCTGTCCTTCCGTATGCATGTATATCTTATCCCTCAGAATCTTCTCAAGTAATGTACCTACCACAGATGTTAGGCTTCCTGGTCTATAATTCCCAGGCTTTTCTTTGCAGCCCATCTTGAATAAGGGCACAACATTTCCAGGTCTTCCAGGACCTCACACGTTGCTGACGATGATGCAAATGTATCAGCCAGGGTCCCTGCAATTTCTTCCCTAGCCTCGTGAAGGATTCTTGGATACACCT